TGGCCCAGGGGTGGGATCCTCGCCTCCCACTCGGGAGCTCTGGGTTTGAGGCCCAGTCAGCGCACCCCATGCGGCGCCGCCACCTGGTCTGTTGTGGAGGCCTGTGCTGCCTTGATGCTGACCAGATGTCAGCGGTGCGTCCAGACTGAGAGAGACTTAGAAGAAAGGCCTGACTTGTTTCTGAGAGTCAGCTGACAGAAACCGGAGGGATCCGAACCCGGTTGCAGGACGGGTGCGAGAGCGGGCAACATGCTGCCCCCTTGTGCATAAGGTGGTCAAGAGTTGGGCCACAGGGTGGCCACCTGGGACCCCAACATTTCGGCACTGAGCCTACATGTCTTCTGGGAGCTGCTGGGGGTGCTGGGGGCTCAGACACGTGAGCACGCACCCACTCAGGGTAAAAGCTGCACTGTCCACAGGGACAGATCTCTTCTGGCTCTGTGAACACGCAGCCTCCTGTCTTGCCGTCCACCCCCCAAGTCCCGGGGCTGTCCAGAGCAGGGGCCAATGAAGCAATGAAGAAACCCATGCTGAGCGGGTGAAGTGAGAGTCCTGGGGTACACAGCTCAAGAGGCCAGGGGCACTGACTGTCCCGTTACATGGAGCTGGGTCAACAGTGGCCCCAGGCAGCCTAGGGAAAGGGCAGCAGTGGAGGCTGCTGCAGCAGGGGGGGCAGGCCCCTCAGGCCAGAGACACAGCCTCTTTATTCCCACAAGCCAGCCTTGTCTCCACAGGCAGGCCACCATGTCCTGGAGGCCCAAGCCCACGCCACAGCCTTTCCAAGTGCCGCCACCCTGGGGACCCACACTCCGGGCTGGCATCCAGTGCTCAGCTGCACACACACTACAGCTTCCTTGACATTCTGCCTGCAGGGCTGGAGAGCCGGGGGCCAGAGGCAGGGCAGTGGGCTACAGCCTTGGCCTCTGCCTTTCACAGGATCCTTCCATAAACCACTCAATGTGCCCATCTTTAGAATGGAAGACCAACACCTATTCATAGGGCGGTCACTAGGGTTACAGAGGCCAACAGTGGGGAAGGAGCTGAAAAAGCTCGCAGGGGGCACTTGTTAGCACAGACTTAATGCCCCTGGCCTCCTTTCCAGGCAGGGATTACTAGCAACATGTAGGACTCAGGGAGACCAAGAATGATAAAGTTGGAAGAGGCAGGATTGGAACTCAGGACCTGGCTCTAGGCCGGCTACTCCCCTGCTGCCCCAGGTCCCCATCTGAGTCCGCCTTCTGCCTCTGGTGCCCCTCCCCCTCCTCACTCAGTTCCAGGTCTCAGGGGAGGTTCCTGGGCCTGATGATGCCATTACAGGTCCTCGGAGGTCCTGGCCCACCTGAGGGCCAGGGAGCCAGCCATCTCCTGGTCAGAGGGGATGGCGCCAGAGCCCAGCTGGGGCCTGGCTGTGGTGGGGGTCCCAGGAGAGGGGCAGGCGCCGCTGGCTCATGATAGGGAGAAACGATGGGGTTTGTCTAAGCCCTTCTCTTAGGCGCTTGGGCAGTGACACCCTCCTCTTCCTCCTCCCCTGCTGGGGTGGGAGTTTCGGGGGAGAGGGGCCTTTATCCTTCCCCCAACTATGCTCACACTTCAGTCCTCTCAAAGCCTCTCCTGGGACTATGTGTGTGTGGGGTGGGAGTGGGGGACCGGGGGAGGCGCTCAGGTCAGGATCAGGGTGGGTCCTCATCCCAGCAAGCCCCCCAACCCCGTGTCTTTGGCTCCTCCCATGTCCAAACCAGTCCCACTGGGCCTAGGATGGGGGAGGGCCGCCCTGCTCGCCCAAGTCCACAGAGCTCCCTGGCAGTGCGAGGTCTGGGGCGTGGACCCATCCGGCCAGGCAGGGTGGTGGAAGGACCCCCGACGCCTTTTAGCACCAAGGTGTCTGGGTGCCCCAAGAAGCCAGTTCCCAGCCTGCCTCCACCTCGGTTCAGTAGCTGCCGGACCGGCGCAGGTAAGCCCCGCCGGCCTGCCTCCTCCAGGGTCGCTGCCCGGACCCCAGGT